TGGGACTGGCCACAAAGTCGAGTTTTTGCAGAGGTCTGTGACGCCGAATGGCTACGGTCTCAGAAAACCGTAACAATCGACCAATTTTCTGTTGACTTAACACTCAGAATGCATGCTTTGGATCGATTCAAAGTTTACAATCCATTATACGGCGAGCAATAGAGCTGGAGGGAATGTTTGAGCCATTGAGCGCTAAATTCCACGGGACGTGTTGTGAGGTCCGAGTGACCAAGCGTCTCTCAGTTCTTTCGATATACTTGCTACCGCAAGTGCATTGAAATAGGTAAATACACGAGGAGGTAACTTGACAGTTCAGTTTGTCCAAGTGATCATTCGTCTACTTTTATGGAGAAGAATTAGCGAGGCGGCGATGTACGTTCTTGAAAGAGCTTGGTTCAGTCGACGTTTTTTTAGTTTCTCATTCTGATCACCTTCAAAGGGTAGTGTGATAAGTACGTTTTTCCTTGGTATGTCGTTTCTCTTAGTTTTAGTCTCCGTATTATTGCCATACTTGGTAATAAAATTCCGCAGATATTGGTTATCTTCTAAGGAACAAGATGTCAGTTCAAGATCATTTGAAGTTTTTCTACAGAACAAATTCTTATCGCTCTAAAAAATAAGCTCTTTACTGGGGCTTGCTTATATTGTATTGAACAGAAGCTTCTGCGGTTCAGATACTGTCCGGTCAAAGTTGGTTTGTGGAATGTAGATCTGATGAGAGATCCATCCTCTCTTCTTGTGAGCTAACTTTACCTTAGAAGTTAATTCGGTGAACTCCGGTGAATGCAAAGGAAAATCTCTCGTGGAAGTCGGCCCATGTGCTACCTAGTGGATGCTACATTCCTCTATAAGTTGAATGGTTGATTCGAATGTGAAAAGACCAGGGTTACCGGTGTGGTCTCGTAGCTTAGCTGGTAGAGCGTGCGCGTACAAAGCGTAGGCGGTGTTCATGCGTGGGTTCGAATCCCACCGAAGCTACTGAACTTTTCACAATCACCATACAAATGTTGATTTGTTTCAGATGACAATATTGATTTAATTATTTTAATGTAGTTGACTTTTCATTGATATTTGTTTTCACCAGATTACCTTATTTTACTTTCAAATTCAAACAACTTAACTCACTAAACACCACAAACAAATTTCATCATTGTCCTCTCCATGGTACGGACTACTAATAAAACTTTTCCATTCTTTCAAACACCTCATTTTTAAAAGCTTGTCGAACAAAGTTACGCTNGTCTCAGGACAACCAAACGAATGATTGATCAAAAGTTACTCTTGTTACGCTCATCTGAAAACGTCTAGTCAATCGTGATCTATAGTAAAAGTTTTTGATATATCTTTTCATACTTGCGGAACAGTTATTAATTTTGAATTATAAACTCTACTCATTTATTTGACACCGCTCAAATGGCACGAATACTTTCAACGTACAGTTGATCAATTTTATATTAGGCATTTTTCCTAGTGCATTTATTATCACAGTGTGAACAAAAGACAGCTCAATTGATGGATAAAAATATTGATTCTTGTGCGATATTATCATCATTGGTGGTAGTAGCGATAACAACAGTGTCTCTAAGGCCTTTTTTGTGTCAGTTGGTGGATTACTTATCAAAAACCTCTTGGTAACAAACAAATTTTGTTTATGTTATTTCCGGTAATGTGTAATAACATGAAAGTCAATAGTGCAAATGTTTAAATTCACACATCAGTTGAAGAATTTTCCGCCAATGGCGAAATCAATTTCTTCACTACCTGAACAAATAGACAATACTGGTGATCGAACCCTGCCGATGAGACCCAACCAGGTCGAAACAGCTGTCCAGTGCTTTCAAGTTTTTCAATTCACGCTTCATTTGTTATATACACGACGAATTCCCATTTTAAATTTAACCAAATCCTCCATTACTCACATGAAATAGACAATAGTTATTGAATAAGTGTATCTCGCAAAAATAGTGCAAATGATAGTAAATTTATTGATCCCATCCAATAAAACTGATTGTTTGTTAGATAACTAGATCGGCACTTTTATTGCCAAACAGAAGCTGTTGAAAATATTGGGAACTATGTTTGATATTTTTATTTATTCAACTTATTACGGTTGTTCAATGCAAACACTGCAGTTTATCAACACCTAAATCTGAGAATCTGAAACTGATGCTAATTTGCTGAACAATGCAGCAAACCACGACTGATGACAACTTATCAGTGAATCGATAAAATCTAAAGATTTGAGGCTTTGGGATTACTTAATTTTTTTGAGACTGCGAACTGAAATTTTGAGAACAAACTCAACAATTTTGAAAGATTAAGAGCAGAATCGTATAAACCCTCAAATTATCTAATTATGCGCATAACATTTGTAGTGAATATGGCTTGTTTCTGGTGTGATAAAGTAAACTGGTAGTTGGAACCCTTGATTTTTTGATTATAACTGTTGCTATCCCTACAACCACGATTAATGCTATTGATAGCATTACCACTACTATTATTACATCAATAATGTATTATAATTATTTTACTCTAATTTTTGTTTTACAATGCAAAATTGTCTACAAATATGAACCTGCTTCAAACCAGAGAGAAATTTCTCCATCAACGAATAATCGTCTACCAAGAAGTTAAAAATATACGATGGTGGAATCTTACTATGTCTACTTATAGGCAAACAATAATCGTTTAATCGCAAGTAGCCAAAGAGGGTAGACATACTTTTATAAAAGACGAACCAATTGGTATTATAAAAGTTAGTCTTGAAAAAAGTATTGTCTGCATTTACATTTAATTATTAAAAACACTTGTCCCGTAATACGTGCATGAACGGAATGTTGATCGATAATCCACTGTTTCTGTCGGTTACGTATTGTGCTTTTTACCTTTTAAGGCGCGGAGTTCACCAAAGTTAAGAAATAGTCGTTGAATGTGCGGCATTTTTTATAATGGATCGGTTTTTATGAAGTTCCAGCTGAAACAGAATGTGCGTGTACTCCCCTCTCATTTGAGCGGACTAAGGAGATCTTGACTACGTTGAGCCCAATACTGATCGGTGGTCAGTATATATAATGGAGCTTGAAATCACACTGTATTTAATATTATAAAGAAAAACTTCCTTCGAGAAAAACAGCTTTTAAATATCGAGTTAAACCTGGCGTGGTGCATTATCTTGCAGAATAACTCAGTTTTTGAGTAACTTTTAATTTATGTTCGTTGAAAGCAAAATTTCTAACGGGTTCCGCGCAGAACTTTGAATTTCTTATTTACAATACCAACTCAGACCGCGCTAGTAATGCGCTGATAGGAGAACAGAAATGAACGAATACAAAAGACGCTCTCAAAAGTTGGAAACTAGATGCAATCATGTGGAAAATTTTAGAATGTCATCAAATAAGTTATTGTAAATAGATTCCTACTTTTCCATCTTTCATAAAGAGAAATCCTCAATATCATGCGGAAAATGGTAACTAAAAATGCTGCTGCCTGAGTCTGTCGCTCTCCCACTGATGAAGCTATAAGAACACTTTCACTAATCTTCAAATGCTGTGTGATCTGTTTAAAAAATAACTCCGATTCCTTCTAGTATACAAAAGAATAAGATTCTCCACTTGAAAAATGATTTTGATTATCACCTAGAAAGACTTTTCTTTTTTCTTATTTCTGATCGAGGCGAGTAGTGCTTTCATTCCCTTATATATGCACAGAACCTTGTTCCACATTGCAGTTCGCTTCATTAGTTCTCAAAGTACTCAAGCGTTGAGGCAATCTATAAATAGAAAACAAATTAAATTTGAACAGACAACGCGAGAAGTACGAAGCAAAATTAAGACCAATCCCAAAGAACCAATCGATAGGATGCAAAAGATGTGTGCAAGCATAATTCCCTTTGGAAAGCAGTAAAACAAGGGGGGCAAATAATGAGTTAAAAAGTAGCTTAGTTCAAAAAGCGCGAGTCAGCTCTTTGCAATAACAAATATTACTATCCTACAGTCATTTTGAGCTTCAGAAAGAAATAAGATGATTTCAATGACACATGATCCAAAATTTGTGGACCGCGCTTAATATTACCAACCTGTCCGACTTATTTATCGCACTTAATCAATTTCGACGGTTTGGTCACACGGGAATCGACCTGCACAACGAACTTCAGGCGACGAACTGGGAGAGCCCTTCTTGAGGAGTGTGTGAATTTTATTCTGGTCTCATGGGAATACATCAAAAGAGGTGGTTTATCGCGTAGGAGAGGAGAGTATGAGCTTTAACTGACGGTCATATGAAGGGTTATTCGATGAGTAAAACAGATATTGCAAAAGTAAACTTTTTTATGGTCAAAGTTCGAAAACGGCTTTACTTGGATAAGAAAGAGAATGATAAAGTAATCGCCAAACGACCATTGTTTTTATGGAGGGAAATTTGAAAAAACACCAAAATGTATCATGGGAATTCCTAGTAAAATTGATTATTTTATTTCCCTATAAACTTACTAATTCAATTTGAAAAGTGTTTCTTATACACAGTTTTAGTTAACTTCATTATTTACTGCTGATTTTTAATTATTTTCAGTAGATCACATTTTCACCTATCTCAATACAAGCTTGACTCGATGGGGCCTTCATATTTTGGCCGCCCTATCCATTGTTCCATCTTCGGTTTATTCATAATATTCTTAATATAATTATCACTGTGTCAACGTTTTTCTTCAGTCATTCACATGAATTTTTACCTTGGTTGCTAAGGTGACCATTCTGCCATTACAGTAATACCTAATTTGGTCAAATACACCCATGTTTTCATGTAATCAATCGAATGGAATAAATGTTTTGCTAATACCGGTTTTTGGAGAACAATGGGGAATAAAACCAAAAGGGCGATCATAAATCTTTTGAAAAATCCGAGTAAGCATCGCGCCGTTTGGAGAGTTGCACTTCGGACACAAACCATCGCCCGTTTATGTCCCCATTATTTTTAGTTGTAACGTCCGAACTGTCGTCGGAAATATGACCGATCTTACCAACTTAGCCAAACTGTGGAAATATTCCCAGCTAGGTGCGGTCATGCTTCAAGAAAGCTGGCTCCACAACAAAATCGAGGATGAAACAGTATACCTGGATGGTTTCGCTAACCATCGAATCGATCAGCCTGGTCCTTATTCTAGATGGGATGATAGTGTTTTCACATTTTTCAAAAATCAGTGCCTTCAACTGATAAAAACGTGTTCTTTTATCATACACTTTATTGAAATGCATCTATATTATAAGGTAAGACCAAAGATATAGGTTTTCTCAATCACTCATTCTTGTGAATGTATACAGTGCCTGCACTTTCTTATGTGATTTTCTCAACGATTTTAAAACACTTTCAACTACATTGATAAATACGCAGATACCTCACTCTGTATTATTTGTGGGAATTTTATTAATTCTGGTGCCCGTTTTCTAACCACTTAGGCATTCAAAATTTGTCACCTTTCCTACCGGATCTGACGCTTATCTGGATTTGGGTTTGGTTAACCTTCCTAATCTGCTTTGTATAGAATGCCGCTCCGCGTTAGAGACATCTGATCACTTTATGTTGAAATTTTCCCCTGCCAATTTTAGCAAAGTCAAACAAAGTCTTTTTGCTCGAAGGCGTGATCACACGTTTCAAGTTAGTAAACGCTCTAGAAAGACCTCACGTGAATAAGGGAAATGATCAAACTCTCCGACATGAATTTTTTTTCCGATTTGGTTTTCTGTGATCACTTAGCGAGGTACCTAAACTTTTGTTACGATGTTTAGTGCGCTTCAGAAACAACTTATATCCAACCCAAACGATTCTCCTCACACTTCATAGAACTTCATCGTAGAAGAGAACGGGCCTTCAGATTGACAATGCATAATGAGATGCGCACTATGTATACATCCATAAGGGATAACTTCAACTCTTCGTACGCTCGTGGTCGGCTTGACAACAGAGGTAGTTGTGACAACTAGCAAGCTTTCATGCGAATTTCTGGCATCAAATCCTCACACGGCGCACCCACTGCTGTAGATGTAGAAGATTTGAATCAGAACTGCATCAATAACGAAACCGTAGTCCCTGCCCTACCTAATAGAAGTGATATGAACACGACCGATATAGTTGTCATAGTTAATCAAGAGTTGACCTGAATAAATCCTCGCAGTTTCAGTAGCCCTGATGGAGTCTCACTTGTTGTCCTGAAGGAATGTGATGCCTTCCTTTCCCCTGAACATTTTAACAATTGTATTTTGCAGCGAAGTATTTCCAACTGCCTGAGAATGACCTCAATCACCCCAGTACTGAAGAAAGGCTCCTAAAAGATTTGTATCATTGCCTCCGTTGCATCTCCGTTGTTTTAAAGGTGTGTGAGAGGCTCCTTGTAAAACCCTATTTACACAGTTTAATGTTGGTAACCCACACCAGTTTGCATACAACCATTCCCGAGGTACCTTGGATGCTCTTGCTTATCTCTCCAACTTCGTTTTATTCAAATTTGATGAGGTAAGCAATGCCGTCTGTATATGTATTTTAGACTAAAGCAATGCCTTCAACACGGTTGTTAGGCAAATATTGCTAAAAATCCCCTTCTTCAGGTGGCATTCACCCCCCTGCAATTGAACTCTAAGCCATATATTTCTCCTTCCGGCAGCAGTCCACAC